AGTGCTTCAGGTTACAGGAACTCGCTCTGAACACAATCAAACTCCGTTATTCTGAAAATGGAATATAAACGATCAAAAGAGGAAACTCGCTGTTATCATTTGTAAAATCATTTTACATATTTGATCACACTTTGAGCTAAAAAAACATTCCAAACTTTCACCCGGTGAAAACTTTAAACAATGAAGACGTTGTTCAAATTCATGGGTAAATAATTGTTAATAGATGCAAATTGTTTGAATAAATGTTTCAAGCTAAAATTATGGCACATTTTATAACAAGAAACAAGGAATTAACCTCCAAAAATGATGTGTCAGACACTTACCGCTTTGGTATTATTTTCTAAAATATTATTTGAGCTTGGCACGTGAAAATATGTTATAGATAAACAACACTAAACATTAGTTCTACCAATGTTTATTATTATACATTTGACATTTCAATAACCGCACAAAATGACAGTGACATTCTGACACTACTGCTATTCGCTCGTTCGCATTCGAGAGTCGAGACTTCGAGAGTCCGAGATTAGAGTTGACGCATGCAAAATGTTACTCAACTTGTTTCATAACAAACGCCGGATCGCAGGCAACACAAAATACTCACTTAATAAAAAACAGGGAAAACAGTATATCACATAACCAGTAATACAAAGTGGTTATAAATGATTTTCATCTAGCCAGCTGTGAATTTTCCATGTAAAATAAAAAATGCCGCTTTACGAAAATAGGGGTAACTACTTGTTTAAACTCAAAATTTAAAAATCGCCGTTTACTAAGAAAATAGACTTCAATTATAAACTTGTTTTCTTCCAAAGTATACAGTATTATCAATTATTATTGGAAATTAGTTGAAACAATAAAAGTTTAATTAACAACAATTTATTATTAATTAAGTGACAGTAACGACAGAACTAGAACCTTCAAAAAAAGTAGAGCGGCACAAATAAAGTTACATACAAAAAAATTCCAAAGCTGGTTAGATGAAAATCATTTATAACCACTCTGTATAACGACCACAATAAGTAATAACGCACGACTGGGGATAAGCCCCACGAGTGCGTTAACTGGCGTTAGACACTTTCCAACGTGTTTTGTACACATTTTTTTCTATGACACTAAAAAAGTAATTATTAGCAAAAACATTTATTTTTTAGAATCAATAAAATTAATGGTTAGATTATTAATTTGACGGTTATAATATAACATAAAAATCCATGGAAAGTGTCCGTTTGTGGCTCACAGTTTTATACTGGTTGCCCCAGAACTCGCGCCCCAGAAAAAAATGCCATATAAGGTAAGATACCAAGAACATGGAAAAAATGTTAAAATTTTATCTATAAAAATTTCGAAGTTATGAGGGTATAAATTTTGCACTTTGACTATTTATTTCGGTTAGAAAAATAATTTTCCAATTTTTTTTTGCTATAGGCTATTAAAAGAGGAAACAAGGAAGCTATATCCTAAATTTTCACTCTGTTCAATGTTACTTGTGGCTTTTATTCACAAAATTTTTGTGCCCTTACTAAATAATTGTAAAAAACATATACAAGATCATCAGTATCATTAAATAGATATAAAAATGTCAAATGTCAAAAAAAATATGTCAAAATTTTTTGACAGATAGATTTTTTTAAACATTTTTTTCATCTTCCTGGTATCTTACCGTACTTGGAAATTTTCTCTGGGGCGCGAGTCTGGCGCACCTGTATGTTGTACCCGTGCGTTATAATAACGTACGAAGCAAACATAATTGCTAAAAGAAAACGCACGATTTTTTAACAGATGAATGAAATTGTCAACTTCATCTCATGCCTACTCAATTGTGTGAAATTACCATTCTTCTTACAGTGTCGTAGGAAAATACTATAACTGTTTCAAAATGATTGTCATCTAGTCGCCTTTGACATTTCTATAAAAAGAAAAAATACCGCTTTAAAAAATATTGAATCTAATTACATAATTCCAAATGTTACTTTGCTTCAGTTAATACCTGCATCGCCCACCGTTTCGATAGAAATAATCCTTTTCTCGCCTGGGTATTTACGAGGGTAGTTTGATGAATAACTTGGTTCGCATAGTTTTAAAAAGTGACAACCATAACTTTATATGTAAACATCAAGTAGCCTTCCTATAAATGACACTTGTAAAATCTCAACGAATTCTGTGAGTAATTTGTTGTTGTAGAATTATTTTAAGTTTAGATTGTCGAGTTATTGTGAAAAATGGATAAAATTGCAATTCGTGGTGTGATCCAGTTCTTTTTTTTGGAAGGAAAAACAGCAAAGGAAATCCATGAAAGAATTTTTCGAACGTTGGGCGACTCATGTCCTTCTTATGAAGCCGTTCGTCTTTGGGTTAATGAATTCAAGCGTGGCAGAACAAGCATCGAAGACGCACCACGTTCTGGTGGGCCAAAAACTGCAGTCGTACCAAAAATAATCGACAAAGTCCATGATATGGTTTTGGCTGACAGACGGGTGAAAGTGCGTGAGTTAGGAGAAGCTATAGGCATCTCAACCGAGCGAGTTCATTTTATTTTGCACCATGAATTACATATGAAAAAAATTTGTGCAAGGTGGGTGCCGCGCTTGCTTACACCTGAGCAAAAACGAATTCGAATGACAACATCAGCCGAGTGTTTGGAAATTTTTAAGAAAGATTCAACGGACTTCTTGCGTCGTTTTGTAACCATGGATGAAACTTGGATTCACCACTACACCCCAGAAACAAAACAGCAGTCCAAACAATGGACAGCACCTGGTGAACCAACCCCGAAAAAGGCAAAAACTGTCCCGTCCGCAGGAAAAGTCATGGCGTCAGTTTTTTGGGACGCAAAAGGAATTCTGTTAATAGATTATCTCGAAAAGGGAAAAACTATTACTGGAGACTACTATGCAGCCCTTTTGGACAAGTTAAAGACGGTCATTGGAGAGAAACGTCCCGGAATGGCAAAAAAGAAAGTGTTGTTCCACCACGACAATGCACCGGTGCATTCAAGTCGTGTTGCGAATCAAAAATTGTCCGATTTAAAGTTTCAAGTTCTTCCCCACCCACCTTATTCGCCGGATTTGGCTCCCTCCGATTATCATCTGTTCCCAAAACTTAAAACATTCTTGGCTGGGCAAAAATTTCAATCAAACGAAGAAGTTATAAAGTGCGTAAACGACTATTTTGAAGGGCTCGAAGAAAATCACTTCCGCGAAGGGATAAAGAAACTTGAGAAACGTTGGGGCAAGTGCGTTGAACTTCGAGGAGACTACGTCGAAAAATAAAGTCCTTTGCAAAATTCAAATCAATGTCTTTAATATCAAACCAAGTTATTCATCAAACAACCCTCGTATGAGTTCAACTGATTTTCGTTGGCGCTTTAAACTGAGGGACTTCCAGCTTTTAAGTTAAAAATGTGTAACCTCATAATATTATGGTAATTTATTTTGTTGTACTTTACTGTTAATTATCTGTTTCAAAAAGAGTAGAGCAACACAGAAAAGTTAACGGGTCGGTTAATAAAAGGCGAATTGACAATTAATTTTTTGTTATAAGTTAATGTGGGATTAACTCCTGAATCTGAGCATCTGGTTGGTTCAAACATGGTCACGTGATCAGTTAATCTAACGTTTGATTGCAATTAACTTAATGTCGCTTTTATAACTTACCCCACATTCGCGCTGTAATTTACATTACTTAAATAAATATCGAGCGATCAAGATAATTTGTAATCGACTCATCTTGGCATCCGAGAACATATGTCTGTTTTTGAACGTGAAATGTCAAATAAAATAACAAGTCGAAAGGCAAAACGGCAAAATAGGCTGGAATTACTCGCCGACGTATAATAATACGAGTAGGACCGCTCTTTTTTGAAGGTAAATTATAAATTTAATTATTATAATCATCACCTTTTTGATCATGCCATTTTACATTTCCACTTGTCATTTTACTTGACATTTTACACATATACCTTTTCGGATCCAAGGATGACCCGATTACAAATTTTCTTGATAACAATGGGTGTTTTTTTTATATTTGCGGCAAAGCTATCCATAATATTCTAATGAGATTTTTTTGGTCTATTTAATGTTGCATATGCATCTGCGTCTTTAAACTTAAAGCATCCAGCCACAGTAAATTTTAATCTGACCGAAATTTGACACAAACATTGACATAACAAAGTAGAAATTATACACTCAGCACTTAGAAGTTTCAATCAAAAGTTATGTTTTAATTTACACATTGCGTGTAATACATTATTTCAAAATGTAACACTTGACCATCACTTAACATCTGTTTTTGGAATTTGCTGTAATTATTATATTATAACAATAAAATCATATCGAAAATCAAAATAAAATAATCTTTGAATAAATTCATATACAGAGTGCGCCAGAACTCGCGCCCCAGAGAAAAATGCCATATAAGGTAAGATACCAGGAACATGGAAAAAATGTTAAAAAAACCTCTATTTATATAAATTTTAAAGTTATGAGGGTTTATAGTTTGCACTTTGATTCTATTTATTTCTGTTGGAAAAATAATTTTTCAAGTTTTTTTGCTATAGGTTATTAAAAGAGGAAACAAGGAAGCTGTATCCTAAATTGTAACTCTGTTCAATGCTATTTGTGGATTTTATTGGCAAGATTTTTGTCCCTTTACTAAATAATTGTAAAAGAACGTATACAAAATCATCAGTATCATTAAATAGATATAAAAAATGTCAAATGTCAAAAAATATATGTCAAAATTTTTTGACAGATAGATTTTTTTAAATATTTTTTTCATCTTCCTGGTATCTTACCTTTCTTGAAAATTTTCTCTGGGGCGCGAGTTCTGGCTCACCCTGTATTATTGCCTCTTGCATAGTATTTCCACTTTATATAATTTTAAAACTTTAACAATTAATTAAATGTTGTTTAGTGAGATCTTTATTGTGTATTTTTAAATTTTGAACTTGGCGGTCGCCAAATTTTCATTATTTTTATATTATGTTGGTGTCACTAGCATCACTATTCTCACGTCAGTGTTGAACTGTTAAAGCGATTTTTTTTTAATATCAAGTACAACAAAGATAAATCTTTATTGAAATAACAGTTTTTATTAGATTTAGGAATATTATACATAATTACACAAATACTGCTGCAACACTTCTAAATATTAGAAAGAGACAAAAAGTGTGGTTATGTTTACGTAGTTTTCATAAATAAATAGACAACAATGATACCTCCTGTAGCACCTGGACAGGCTGAAGAAAAACAAAATATGGTTAGTTGGGTGAGTCTTTATGATTGTGATCAGCGATAAGAATTATTAATTGTGAATATTATGCATTGCAGAAGAACACGTTCAGTATGAGACAAATCAGTCTGATGAATCTCGCCGCTTCTCAGTTGGGGGTAAAAAACGGGAGTAGGTCTGCAATTCCGAATTGTAGAAGAACGTACAGCATTACCAGTCCCGCCAAATCGTTGGATCTTTTAAGACAGAATTTACAAAGTGCCATTAACAAAGACATAGAATCGGTTATAAGAAAGTATTTGGAGGTTTTTTAAATTCACATTATACAACAAACTGATCTATTTTTAACATATTCTAGAAATTTTTTCAACCCGCTATTAACAACATTAAAATTAATTTGGGTAATGACAGTGTAACTGAAGACCATGTGAAGGAAGTGTGCAAACAGATGCTGGAAGATGCTAAATTGATGTACAAATTTTCACCAGGGTCACGCGATAGTTCACCTTATGATTACAGTGACTCTGAAGCTAGTACAACAGATGGAAAATGTGGTCACAATGTAAACACAGATTTGGCTTGACTATTTTTATTAAACGTAAAATTTTAGAGCCCTCTTCATAGAAAAAGGAAAGGATCTGATACTGATTCAGAGACAAACAGCAAACGCCACAAGTCACAGTTTTTTTACATGACTGAATGTGGCAAATACAAGGTCCCAATTAAAAGAGAAGGTGTAAAGTGGAATCCTGACAGAATCACCGAAAATACTTTGTTCATAATGGGCCCTAGAGCCAACAAGGTTTTAGGGTATGGACAGACAAGGGGGCGTCTCTATGCCCGACATCCTGATTTAGTTCGCTACTCTGGCGACCAGGAAGATAAAGAGTGGTTATCAGCTAAAAATTTAATGCCACCAAGTGGCGGAAAGGCATATCTGATGATTTTAGAAGATATCAAAGAATTAACAGAAAGCGATGAATACAAAAACAATCCCAATTTGCAGTTGCACGAGTTGAAGGGTTTTATAGCACCACAATTTTTAGTCAACAAGGTCAAATTATTCATTCAAAATTTTAAGACTGATAAGAAACCTTTTATGGGTTTAGATTTATTTGATTTCCGCAGTCAGTCAATTACTTCACCAAATACTACACCAGATTCGGGCCCGTCTACGCCTTCTGATTCTGTACACGTGGAAAGTCAGACAGGAAGTACAAGTTCTAAGCAGTCTGAAAATAATTTTGTTAATATTCCTGAAATGAGTCCTAATTCAAACCATTCAATTATTTCAAGCCAAAGTCCTATACAAAATTCTGGGTTGCTCTCTCCCAACATGTTGATGACGATTGCGAATAATACGGACGGTAGTGGACCCGTTATGATTCTAAAGGAGAATACACAGAATGATACTTGTTTAACGAGTATTTTAGCAAGTGATAACTCACAAGATTTTTAGCCCCATTTTATATGTTAGATACTTTATTTTTGTATTTGTTTTTAATTTATTTTGTTGAATGCATGTGTATTACCCCGTTTTACAATAAATACGTAATGAAGTTGTTTTTTTTCAATGGATGTTGCCAATTTTTAGCGTATTTTTAGTACAGACTTTTTTTCATTACTTTGTTGTCATTAGTGTTTTTAACACTAAGTGACAGCATATTAAGTGTTCCAGTGAAAGATGTGTATTTATAACTTTGTGAATAAGGAAGTGTAAAAATAATTGAGCAATGATTGAAAATTTTCAGTCAGGTGTTACATAGCTCATTCGTTATTTATTTAGTAAAGTGGATACAAATTTATTAGTGAATAAATAATATCTAAGTTGAATTTGTACTAAATAATAATGAACACTTCTATTTTCAAATTTATTAGCAATAAATTTATCTTTAAAAAATAAATAACTCGTTTTTGTTTGAAAAAGTTTTGAATTAAAAACGTTAGTTTGAATGCAAGTTCTTCTAGTTACAAGTACATATTTCGGTTAATAACATTAGATGTTAGATGTGAAAATGGTAAATATTTTCTCTTGTTTCGGTTTCATAAAAATGGTATACAGTAAAATCTCCTATAAGCGGTCACCGCGACGGTGACATTCTTTTTGTCCGGTTAATGGAGGTGTTTTCTTAAAAGAAATAATAAAGTGTACATTAACAAAAATAAATAAAAATATTAAAAAGGTAATAACATATTATTTGATACAATAATAGGACTTATTAATTATTTTTTGATGAAAAATTCAAATAACGTATGTAGTTTATTGCTTCTTGAAACGAGCAAATCTATAATTAAAACTACATTATTCTGACTCAGTAAAAAGTAAAGTTCATTTTTCTCTTTATTTTGGACTTATTTTGTGGAATTAATATTCTCTGCGTTAAATCACATTGGCGGTTTTACTTTTATGGTAACGATGCCACTTTGATAAATGAGTTTACGCAAGTTATATAACAAAAATGTTTTGGAAACACATAATTTTATTAAATTGCAATTTTAAAAACAGCTTTAAGATAAAAAACACGGTCATTTTTAATAAGAACAATCATTATTCAATTAATTAATTAATTTTCAAAGTGACATCGTTGTCAAAAAAATAAAATCACCAATGTAATGAGATTTCAAAAGCAGAGAAAAATGTTTATAAGTTCAAAAACCAAGAGAAAAATTAACTGTTCTAAATCTCAAAGATAACAATTTTTCCTTTTTGTAAATTCAATGCGGGGACATACTGTATAATATATTCTTTATTGGACAGTCTATTTTTTCCTGTAAGTATTTCTCCGTTAACTTAATGCAAGTAGTAACGTGCGATCAAAATAAAAGATAATTATTTAGAGTAGGTGGTGATTAAAGTCCTTCAGAAGGCAATCCTGAGTTTTGACATCAAATGTTAGCGGAACCTTTGACAAGTTTGCGTTTTATTCATTTTGAGTGAAATAATCTTCACTTTAGAGCAGAAAATTTTTATTGTTGCAAGTTATTACAAAAATGCTGTACAAGACGAAAACGGAGAATGGTCATTTTCACTTTCAGTTTGTGTGGAAAATTCCCAGCCCACGTGCTGCCAACTGTAGAGTATTAATCGTCGCCTACTCTAATTTTTTTTTTTTTTGATTGCACGGTATTTATATGTAATACATAAGAACACAAAGATTGACAGAATTTTACCACTGCTGAGGTCTGAATCTGAATGAAACATTTACCAGAGCATATACCCAGTTATGTGATTCCCCGAATTTTCATTTTTTGATTTTTATGACAGTCAGTCATAACAATAACACACGCGCGCATGACATACTGTCGCTCAAAACGGGGCTAACAAAAATATTGACAGAGGAGGCCGCTTATAAGAGAGATTTCACTGTACTTTTAAAGGACAGCCCTGTATATCTCAAAAACTATAAACATTCGAATAAAGCAAGTTGAGTTCTTTTGACTTCTTTTAAAATATATTTAAATATGTTAAAATATTTGCACAAACTTTTGATTTTGGTATAACGTTCTGAAATTGTTTGACACCTAGAATATGTATTCTTGCAATTTATAAGTAAAGCAATATATTGTTATGACCATTTTTATGTTAACCATGATTAAAAAACAGTTCGTTTCTCATCTACACAGTTCCACACCTGGAAGCAAATACCTCACTTTTTACACGCTAATAAATTCTAGGTCCTCGTAATGAGATGACAACATTTTCATTACATACGTACTCCACTTTTGCATGACATTTACGGGGACTGTTTTATGAGACACGACGACATTTAAAAAATGTCCCTACATTCCCATTACGACCGTAATTAAGCGCGGGTCGTTTTTTGTAACACCTGGTTGATCGGAATAGCAGACTAGAGAATACGTATATTATGCACATCTGTGCATCATCGTGCATCGGGAATATCTTCCTATTTGCAAGAACTTTTGACTCACTCTAAATAGTTCTCTTAAATTGGACTAAGTCCAGATAGCAGTGCATACAACCAATAGAGCTTTTTGCGAAGAAAATTTTATGAATTGCATGTGATGCGATTGGAGGTATACAGAGTGTGTCAGAACTCTCGTCTCAGAGAAAAATTTCAAGTAAGATAAAATACCAGGAACATGGGAAAAATGTTTTTCTATTTCGGTGTTAGAATAGGTCTATTCCAGCACGCAAATGACGTCATTTGCGTGCTGGAATAAGTCGTTCGCGGTAATTTAATTTTAGTGACGGACTTTTTTCACAATTCATTTTCAAATGTGAAAATAAGAATAATTTTTATTTTTTACAGCCGCCTAAAATTATTCCACACATAAATGTCGCCAACCGTCGCAAAATTCTCTAGAAAAAAAATTAATTTTCGTTTTTAAATTTATAAAATGATATAAAGCGGCTAAATAGAAAAAATAGTATAAAGCACTTGTTGCAGAAGGTTCTTCAATCACTCATTTGTTCCTCAACTCGCCGCTACGCGGCTCGTTTCGGAATTTCAAATTTGTGCTTCTGCAACTTGTACTTTAATATACTATTAAAAAATTCTATCTGTCAAAAAATTTTGACATTTATTTTTTGACATTTGACATTTTTTTATGTTTATTTTATGATGCTGATGATTTTGTGTATGTTTTTTTCATTATTACTTAGTAAGGGTACAAAAATTTTTGCCAATAAAAGCCACAAATAACATAAAACAGAGTTACAATTTAGGATACAGCTGCCTTGTTTCCTCTTCTAATAGCCTGTAGCAAAAAATCTTGGAAAATTATTTATTCAATAGAAATACATAGAGTCAAAGTGCAAAATTTAAACTCTTTTATAACTTTGAAATTTTTATGGATAATTTTTTTTAAACATTTTCACCATGTTCGTTATCTTCCTTCCTTACCTTATCTTTTCTCTGGGCGCGAGTTCTGGCTTATAGTTCTTCTAGAAATAAGTGAGAACAGAGTCAATTGCTTAATTGCACCCTAAGAGCTGGGTATCAATTCCTAGTCATAAACTGTTTAAAACCCGTTGCAGCAGGTCAAAATGTTGCGATTTCTTGCAAGCAGAGACGGACTCAGGAAACTGTTTGAGTTGAGTATACTGTTATTTAAAAAAAATACGCTACAACCAATAAAAAAAAACATTTTTATTAAAAGCTGCACAGAAAACGAAACCGCAGTATTTAACATAGCTATTGAATAGCTTAGTTTTCACACATTAAGCTTTGCATAAAGTGAATACGGCCCTGGAAACCAGCTCAGCTGGCTAAGAGATATTTTTATTGGGGATTAAAACCGCCGGTAGCCCTCTGTGGGTTTACCAAGGATAATTACATCCATAAAGCAATTGACTCTGTTCTCACTTATTTCTAGAAGAACTATACCTGTATGTTTTTTGTAATCGTGAGCTTTGAATATTGGACGAAATAATAGTCACTAAAAGTTTTACTTATTAATTGAATTTTATTGCAGCTGAATATTATTAAAAGAGCTGTTGGCAAAAAATACGCCGGCAAAATAACTTGTAATCTACAAAAGCGCTGAAGGGTCACACACAAAGATATTTTTTAACAAAATTGACAGTTAGTAACTATCAATTGCCAGATAGTAAGTGGCAATTGCAAGATAGTACAGATTTCACCCTAAAGGGTTGAGTTTTATTACATTTTGGAATAAATTCACCGAATTCTGAAGTGTAGTTTTTTTTTTCGCGTTAATACATACCAGGTTAATAAAAAATATGGAACCAAGCGTTTTTTTCGTAAACTAAGCACTTTACGAAAAAAATAATTAGTGTAGAGTAAAGTACAATTAAAATGTGACCATTTACCAAGAATAACATTTTTCGGAATTAAGTTTTCGAGTTCTGAATTTTTTTTTTTTAACCCGGGCTTTCCAACGACCAAAGTCATGAAACGAACCACTCGTTCAAGTTCGGAAAATCTTCGTGATGAGCTCGGAACGCAACTTTAACAATTAATTTAAAAAAAGTACTGGCTAAAAAACAATTTTATTTAATTAGAGGTCATTTTTAGATTATAATCTTTAATTAAAAAAAAAATTACCATGGTGGGTTGCAATTTAAAAAAAAAAAAATTCCTGAAATCGAAAACTAAAAGAAATTTTGAAAAATGTTATTCTTCTAAATGGTCACATTTTAATTGTAGTATACTAATTATTTTTTTCGTAAAGTGTTTAGTTTACGAAAAAAACGTTTGGTTCCATACTTTTTATTCACCTGGTATGTATAATACCGTATTTAATTTTTTTTTCATATTTCACTCTTAGGGGTGACTTTTGTTAACTTTTAAATTATGTGTAGAGACGTGTAAGTATTGTGAACAAAAACACAATTTAACCCGTCACACCAAAATTTTATTTCAGCCACAAAATGGTCATCCTCAGGTGAGAATAATACTAACTCTTAATTAATTATTAATTTTTAGAGATTTTGCCCTTAGGGGGTGAATTTTATCACCTTCTGGGGAGAGTTAGAGATAAAAATAAAAAAAAAATGAAAAAATAAAATTACCAAAATTACATGATGTGTCTCAAGCTGCCTATACAGGCTGCGCCAGAACTTGCGCCCCAGAGAAAAATGCCATGTAAGGTAAGATATCAGGAACATGTAAAAAATGTTAAAAAAAATTCTATCTATAAAAATTTCGAAGTTATGAGGGTTTCAATTTTGCACTTTGAATCTATTTATTTCTGTTGGAAAAATAGTTTTTCAAGTTTTTTTGCTATAGGCTATTAAAAGAGGAAACAAAGAAAAAAAAAGAAGCTGTATTCTAAATTGTAACTCTGTTCCATGTTATTTGTGGCTTTTATTGGCAAAATTTTTATACCTTTACTAAATAATTATAAAAACACATATACTAGATCATCAGTACCATTAAATAGGCATAAAAAAATGTCAAATGGCAAATAATAAATGTCAAAATTTTTTGACAGATAGAATTTTTTAAACATTTTTTCCATGTTCCTGGTAGCTTATCTTACTTGAAAATTTTCTCTGGGGCGCGAGTTCTGGCGCAGCCTGTATGTAAGACTTATAGTTTATGTTATTTTTACAAATGCCACTCTCAGGTGGTGACTTTTTTTTTAAGCATTCTACCAAAACTTTGGTTTTTGTAATTTTATGGATTGTAATTGACACGCATGCAGTCGATAGGCATAGGCATTAATAAATTATGGCATTTATTACATCGTAGATGTGTTAATAGTTATTTGTGTTACAAGAGAGGAAAGTGTATCTTTTCTTCCCACAGGTGGAAATTTTGCTTTTTATTTTTCACTAAATAAATATCACTTTATTACCCTTACCTATAAAAGTTTCAAAATAATTGACATCGCGGTAGGCGTTGAGACTGTAAACCACATTTTAATTTTACTTCTAAAAAAGTTACTAATGTGAACATTTTTTAGATCGCGATTCGTCATAAAAATTACATTTATTCTATTGAATTCTGTCTAACAAAATAGCATAAGTACAAAAGGAGAAGGTTGAGAATTGAATCGGGGAAAAACATCGAATTGAAGAAGGTACTGCAAGGATGTAGAAATGCATATAAAGAGAAAAATGTGCTGAGATTTGTATAAAACGAGAATGTGAAACAGAAGCGAATAATGGCAAAATTCTGATGTGCATACAGAACAGTAAAAGATCTGGAAACTGGGAGAGTGTAAGTTTTGATTGGAACCCGAAGAGAGGTGTAAAATGTGAGGAAAGGAGAGTGAAAAACAATTAGACATTTACCGAATGGATGTGATATCCTTAATGAAGGAAAGCAGGATATGGAGTATTATTTATTGACTTGCAGTGTACTTTAAAGTCACATTTTTTAAAATACATTTTCAAACATTATTTCTTTTAGTCAAATATGAGTAAATTTAAAATGAAAGTTTTTGGTTTAAGAAGAGCAACAAAGTTAGTGGCAACAAGTGTTAAATTGCATATTAATCATCAGCAACCATTAGTGTGATTTCTTCTGTGTCAGATTAATTATCATCAGTAACAGATCTTCATCTTCTGAATCAGACATGTTAGTAGTGTTAATAATAGAAGGTGGAATTTCATTAACATCATGAGTGCCCATATATTTCTTTCAATCACTCGTTGATTATAATATGTTTCACAAAAACCCCACGATAATTTCATAGGGTTTTATTGGCAGTTGTAAGGCCGTAGTCTCAAAACTTCATGACTTTCGGCTTGTAATAACTCGTCGATTTCCTACCTTTTTGCAAAAGGTTTTACTAAATCCAAAACTTGTTTTTTTGAAAAATTATCAATACAAGATATGCTGTGTCTACTTGAATGGAATGGCAAGGAGCATTATCCATTATAATTACACATTTTGAATTTAATGATCGCAGGGCAGGTACTGAATTATCAAAAATACATTTTTTAAAAAGCTCCCTATTCATTGTTTTTTGATAATTCCTATCATTTACTTTGCTGTCTAATATAAAATCACAACCTGCAAGCATCCGTTCTTAGTTCCAGCATTAAGAATGGTATACCTTCTCTACCTTCAGCCTTAAAATTGGATGGAATGCCTTTTGAAGTGCTTTCTAAAATCCACTGACAAACTTGACTACCATTTGCAAACACTCAAGTTTTATCCAGAAATATAAATGTTACAGTTTCCTTTTTTAGTTGTATGTATCTACCGCAAAATCGCACTCTACGAAGAACGTTTTGTTGTCTCTCAATAAGAATCATCCTTCTATCAACCTTTTTATATTTATAACCAATTTTCTTTAGGATACTATAAAGAGTCGTTTTACTTTGATGAAAGTCTAGATATTCTTTGGCATATTCAAAAATAATTTCAAGATTTATGTACATAATCATTTTGTTTAATTAAAAAAAAATAAAATCATTCTTGTGCTTGCATAAGAAAGTTATTAGACCCTTAATTTCACCAATCCCAGAAGGGCACCTCAGGATGTGATGGAAAAATTATTTCCGTTACTAGGTTACAAAAATACTAGAAATTTGCCTAAAAGTTTCAAAAATAGCTGGATTACTGAAGTTTTGACATTCATTAGTTTCCTGTCATGTGTTGACATAACACGCTATTTTCGAATATTTTTCTCCCCGAAGAGGCTGTAGGTTCACGAGCGTAATGAATGGTTCGAATTTGTGTTAGGTGACAATTGTAAGGTTTAAGTTAACAAGTTTAACTATGTACTATAAGTTACTTGTACTACCTAAATTTGAGGAATTTTTTTCCCCACGGGGTGTTTGTGGTCTTGAGGTTGAAATTTAAAAGAGATGATATGCACGGTAGAAGAAGCCTATTACGCTAAATAAATAAAAATTCGCGATGTGAAGGGTAATAATTCATTTTTTTTTTTGAAATCGTACTGCAATGAATAATTTTCAACCCGGGAAGTATACCATTTTACCGGACTAGTCCGCTAAATGTGTTTTTACCGGACTAGTCCTGTAAAAACAACAAATTGAATTCCAGGAAAAATTTTTCATACCTTTCTCACGACACAGAAGGTAATAAATTGTCACAATACGCTTTGGGCGGCATCGTTAATGTTATTTTCACACACTAAATGACACTCATTTTCAATACGAAACTCACAACAAATTGTAAAGCGAAACGTTGTTTTCACAATTTTCACAAATTGAAAAATTTTTGTTGACTGGTTGTTCAGGTAACACACGGGTAATATTATCATATCAAAGTCTACTTCAGATTTTAAAACATAAAATTCTTTAGCTAAAAGTGGAAAATTTTCGATTACAAAAAGAAATTGCCCGGAAAGTGCTTTTACTAGTCCTCTAAGCTACTCGTCCTGGTAAGTATTTGTGGTATTTGCTTACTCGTCCAATAAAATCTAATTTTCCGGACTAGACACGTAAATATCTATTATATTAACTGTTTGAGAACTGCTACTTCGTCTTCGGCCGTTACCTTATTGTGTTTCACCGTAAATCATTACCACCACAACCAATTTATTATTTCAATGTTTGCGATCCAAAAATTTAGAAAAAAATCAAGAAAAAACATATAAAGCTTATTGGAGACCATTTTGGTTGAAGTAATTCAAAAGAAGATCTTTGAGTTTTGATGAAAACTAAGATAAGGCAAAAGCAAATTAAATGATGACAATGTTAAAACTATGAAATGACTTTTCTCTTTCATTGTTATGGATACGATTTTCTTATTTGTTGCCACAATATAATACCGTGCGTTGAAAAAAAATTATAGGCGACGATTACTATTCTACAGTTGGCATTGTTGGCAACACATTGCCTGAGAATCTGGGCTGGAAATTTTCCACACAAACTGAAAGTGAAAATGACCATTCTCCGTTTTCGTCTTGTACAGCATTTTTGTAATAACTTGCAACAGTAAAAATTTTCTGCTCTAATTAAGTAAACATTATTTCACTCAAAATGAATAAAACGCAAACTTGTCAAAGTTTCCGCTGACATTTGATGTCAAAAATCAGGATTGCCATCTGAAGGATTTTAATCACCGCCTACTCCAATTTATTTTTTTTTTATCGCACGGTATTATCTTAACAAAAAATAACTTTACAATTTTTTTCATTTTTAAAACAAGTATTATGATTCCCTACTGCTATTTTTTCGCATTTTTCTTCAAATTATCTTACAACAGTTTTAATTGCATTAATTTACTTGTAACTGACACATACTGAGATTTTCAGGTTAAAAAATACACTAGTCACATAATCCTTTTCTTATTGTTACACAATTCTTGTGTTCTTGTTTTCTTAAATCAGAACATTTAATTGTTTTTGTTCCAAAATGTTTAATTAAAAATAAAATTGGTTATTTATTGACAGTATTGAGTCGTAAATTTATCCGTGCCTAGAGTGATATACAATTTAACTCTCTTCCTATTTATAATTTAAAGATATGAAAAGCTTTCGGCAAAGGAAACGTTGCAGGCAGGTGCGTTATTTTTCTAAAAAGCGATCGAGCGAAGTTCCCTCCGATTTGGCGTCAGTTTGGAATTTGTCCAGTATTAATTTTATTTGTTGTTCGTTCGAGAAGATGTGGTTCGGTCGAAAAGGTGGAATGTTTACGAGGCAAAGAAAGGAGTAGTAATTTAAGGGTGTTATCGATTTTGTTCGAATGTGCTCGAGTTGCAGCACGTCAAGGTGCCGGCGCGGCAGGATCGCGCTCCTCCTGCTAGTCTTCCATCCATCCGACACACTGCCCCACATCCGGTCGTACGTTATTTCCGCGTTTTTATCGTTTCGGTTGTGTGCGTTGTTGTGTGCAAGTCAAGGCGCACCACCACCACGTACCTCTGCGTCATCGCCGTCGTCGCACTGACGGTGCACGGATTGCACCCAATCACAGCCATTGTTTGTCTCATCCATCAGCATTTCCACGCAGACGCGGACGCCGTCTCCGAAGCGTCGTCGAACTCGACCGATCCTCCGTCGGCGCGCCTCACCGACCATCGTTCTCAGTATCGTGTTGACAGTGACGCTGAGTAGGCGATTCCGGGAGTCCGCTAGCCTATCCCGGTTTCTATTTACCTTTAGTTTAGTCGTAGTTGAGCAAATCGAAGTCACTCAGTGTTATGGAGCCGCAGAACCAGGAAATTGTGGCCAGCGGTTCGCCCGCAGAGGTGCCCAACGATCCGGGGTAAGTAAAACACCGGAGTCTACCGGAATCGCCGGTGCGCCACATGACTTTTTTTGAACGACAACACTAAACACTCATCTTCGGTTGCAGGAAAATGTTCATCGGTGGACTCAGCTGGCAAACCAGTCCAGGTAAGCCTACACGTGACTGTGTTGTTATCAGTGTTATCCCGTGAAGTGCAAACAGTGATAAGAAAGAAGATCCAGGAAATAACACCAGTGCTTGTTACCCTTTTTTCTTTCCTACAACATGCGATTGTCATTACCATACATGGTGTTATTACATTACTAGATGAGTTTTGATTGTTGTTCACGCTTAAATTAGTACGATGTGCATTGATCACTTGTAATTTAGCTCCAAAGTTCACGTCTATTTCCATTCGTTAAAACGTGCGCCAGTTCAATAACACTAACAAAAACAAATTCTCCACAAACTTCATCAATATTTTATTTTAATTGCATTTACGCCAACTGCAAGGTGTTAGTCACTTGAGGTCTCACGATTTTGTGCAGACTTTCGTGCTTAAACTTCCGGGAAAACTTTGAAGATGGCACCAGCAGTGTCGTGAAAATACCTTTATACCAAAAATTATATTTTAATTTCAAAACTTTAAATGTTACGTAACCTCAATTTAACACGTGCTCATTTTAATTATACGACATCTAGTGTTAATTATATGAACAAGTTCGATTTTTTCATTTATTTTGATGTCGGTTTGACATGATAAATCTCAATTAAGGTTCGGATTTTTTCTCTACATTGCTATTGTCTTTTAATTGATAATGCAAATTTACGATAATTAACCATTCTTTGCGTTTACAACAAATTGCCGGCCTCGTTATCATCGTAATCATTAAAATTAATTGCTTTCGAGCGATAATTAAAGTTTTTAGGACCACCATTAAGCGGTCATTTTACAATTTAGCTAAAACATTATAATATTGACGAGATTATCTATTTCATCAACCTAAAGTAATACCAGTAGTAAAACCAATGTATGTAAACATATCATAATAAGGTCCGTCCAGTGACGTATAGTCTTTCATTATATTATGACGTTACGTCAGAAACGTGACACTTATTTATTCAGTAAATTAGTAACATGTGATTGCGAAGTACTATAACCAAAATGGAAAAATTTACGTTACACATTTTAATATTGTCTCCGGATATGCGAATTATCTTTTTAACTAAACAAATTGTTTATTCTTAAATTCTTATCTTGAACCGATTTTCAATGGCCAGCCAAATACCACGTGGAAGCGGCATTTTGTTGAAATTTAGGTGGTATTTGGTTGGAGGTTGATAGTTAGTACACCTCTGATGGCCTATACACTTGCAGAAATAACATGAGGCGTCCGCATCTTCCGAACCTTGGCCAACATTCATTCGATGGAAGGCACTTTGAGTTGGAAAGACGAAAATTGACGATGTATTTTATTTTATTTTTTTGGAAAATAAATTTTGAAAATTTTGATTGGTCTTTTTTATTCTTTCGGTCAAAATTTACATGGCGCGTTTCTACTCTAAATATTATTTTGATATAAATATCTTGACTTTATTTTTGGCTTCCTTTTATTTATTTTGGGCGTTGCTTACTGTTGCGGGAGGGGGACGTTTGAAAAATTGTTATATGGAAAGAACCAAATTTTTAATTTTAATGTCAATGTCATGAGTGAAGTCGCTTATTGTTATTAATTTTATTGTGTCTTGGCAAGTCAAGGCCTGTACTTATACTCAAAAACTATCTCATATTGGCTTTTTTGTGTAATATTAAGGGGAGTTTCATCTCGTTACATCAACGTGGGAGATTCTTCCAAACCCAAAATAAGTTTCCTGAGGTCACAACACTTCTCCACTTTGTTCTTGGTCGCTGATGCGTTTTTCCTTCCCTACTTAAGTCTCTTCCTGCATTCTGTTGCAATTATAAGCATGCAACGAGGCGGTACGCGGTCACTAACGTCAATCCATGTTTTATAATGGTTTTTATCTGCTGGATCGTCTTTCATGTTCATATTCGCTGACAGTAATTTTTCACGGTCGTTGTTGACAAAACGGTCACAAACCTTACACGATTTATAAGGTTGCATTTAATTACCTATTGTCAAGTTTACGATAACAGTACCATATTTTTTCGACAATTGGGAACCATTCCAACAACGCCGACAGAGAATGAAGTTATAAAGACCAACATCTGTGTTTCTTTTTTTTAATTTAACATCTTGAATAAAATGATCAATCATGATGATGATTTGCTTGTGAAGAAGATTAAGGATGTTCACGTATCAATTAGGCGGTGTACGATTTGTTGTTCTAAGTTTTATTTGCCACCTCATATTTTCTGGGATTAAATTCAGAACGAAATACTTTATCTTTTTCATCCGTTTTCTTTTCATATCTCTTTCGTTTTTATTTTAATTAACTAATAAGCTCCTTTTCCATCTTCTGGATAATTAAAGGCTCGGGATGTTATTAATATTGCAACGAACCGCTAAAACGCTTAAGACCCTTACAGGGGCATCCTTTAAATAATAATTTTCTTGCAATCATTTAAATAAATGACCCGAATATTACAGAGTTTTTCATTTTCATTCCAAGTAGGAATGTGCTGTTGGATTCTATTAACAGCAGAAACATTGCTTTCAAGCTTGTCAAAGATGTCGGAAAAAGAAATAATATTGTTAAAGTGTCGTGGAAACTAAAAATAATGTACAACGAATATTTTTGGTGATATAAACAATTTGCAGAAAGAGGATTGAAACCGTATAAAAACTGTTTAATCCATTTTAAACTTGATTGTGGGTATTACTTATCGAACAGGATGTGCTGTAATCAGAATAATATCAAAAAATAGACTTTTTTGATGTAATTGCAAGTCTCTGGCTATTAAGTCTAATTACAAGTTCTTTTCAAGGTCTATTGGAATTGAGTTATAATGTCGACCTAATAAAACAATTAAAAAGCAAAAGCAGTTTCTACTGGAAACTTATTTATATTTAACTACATACTTGATCTAATAATTCGAATTAAGTGACAATTTAATAAATAGTACTTGCGCATTGTATCTACATTGTGTCGCTTTAAAAAAATACATTTTTGTCAGTTGGTATCTAATTGCAAAATACTAGTAGGTATATTGTCAAGAACTATTAGAACCTTAAGGTTTAATTTTCAAACATTGGGAGAATATACAATTTTACTTAAAGAAAACTATTAAAAATGACGTAATAGCATGCATTTGATTCTTCTACTCGTTTTGTAAATAAATAAATGAAGAAAACAATAAGAATGGAGATAAATATTTAAAGCATTATTAGTACAATGACCTAGTAGATACCTATCAACTTAGAATACCTATCAACTTGTTATTTTTTCCACTTACAAATGTACATACACATTTTAGTTTATCTATAACAACACTGTGTGTTAAAATTGTTAAACACTGTGTGTTAAAATTGTTAAACACTGTATGTTAAAATTGTTATGAAAATGTTACGATTCTGTAATAGCTTAATGAGTGATAGTTGAATTTTAAATTTTGATAGAAAACTTTCATTAATTCATGGTCATTCATTTGTGAATCTGAAAGAATATTTCTTTACTTTGTATTAACCGCTATCTAACCATAGGTAGTTTTTCCATTATACTTTACGAGTGACAAAGGAGCAGGACAGTTAAAATTACATTAAAAGAGAAGGAACAATATTTCAAAAATAGTTGAACAAGTTTGAAGTATTTTTAGACATCTTATATAAAAAGGTAAGTTCTCAGTTATTAATATTTTAAAGGAAGTGTAGCAAGTCAAATGTGTGTAGTTTGCAATTCCATTAAAATGTTGGTTCTTGAGCTTGGGCAACACTTTTGTTCAACACTTTCTTAGCAACTCGCAGCGGCTTCACGCTGTAGACGAAACCGATGTTGAAATAATGAATCATTGAGAATGTTGCGCTACAACAAGATAATGCAAAAGAGGAAATTGCAAGTGCATTAAAGTTAAAGTGAATAAATTAGTGTAACGGACCTTATTATCTTCCAAAAAATTATTTAGCAATCCCTAGCTGCTTGCAAAAAGTTGTGGTAGTAACGAGCAGAAAAGCCTTGTCATAGAGTTGATTATTATTTAACTGGCTGAAGCTGGTTTCACTAAACTTAGATTTAAATTAGTCGTCTGAATTGAGTGGAAGGATGATTTGTGTAATGAAGAGATGCAGCACGTGCCTCCATATTTGTGTAAAAGAGTAGGTGGTGCGTACTCGAAGCAAGACTAGCAGCTGAAAATAGGTCCTGGAGAGCCAATGCCGACCTTCAAACGGTTAAATAAATTGTAAACAACACTCGTTGAGTTATTTTTTTAAGTTATGATTACGTAGTGCTTCGATTTCCAAAGCAAGAGTTTGCGACTAGTTCTCAAACAAAAAGTAAATAGAACACAATAATAGAAACTTACAGTTTGTCACAATACCAATAGAAAGTTTTAATTACCACAAGTCAATTCTTTATTGTGCTAATCAGGTGAACTTACCGTGAAAGGCAACTCAAAATCTGAAATGCAACGTTTATATAATTTATCATCACATGCATTAATTTATTAAGCTTGAGTACAGGCGTAATACACTCAGAGCAGAAATAGACTGACTTCCTGATTAATCAAATGGAGAGATTAGTTCTAATTACACTAAGTTTTACAAAAAAAATAATGCTTTTGTTGAAGATTTTTTCATTACTTTAAGACAATTTAATTAAAAAAAATTATTCAGTCAAGTTAGCATCTTAAAATCTAAATGCATGTGGTGGCAGAAATTCGAATGGATCATCCAAAAACGAAGAGAAAAACTTTTTAATTAGTTTTGCCAAGTTGCACATCTAAAATAATATTTTAATTGACCGTCTTGATTCACGGCCCCATTTTAGTGGATCGATGAGTCTCTAGGGTCGAGTTGCCAACTCTTTTCAGAATTTAACTAGTTTGGCTAATAATGCAAAGGTATTTATGACCTCGACAAAGTTTTAATACAGCTATGCAAAATACATTTTGAAATCTGGTTAATGTATATAAACCATCTCTAATAGTGCATCTGTTGGAATGAAAATAAGATGAGAAAACTTTCTGAAGAACATATGGGTATTATTA